TATTGGGATTCTAATGACCAGTCACATTACATTAAAGCATCTAGGGACCATTTTCTTCCACGCTGCCCCTCCAGTTGGGTCTCTGCATCATAAAAATGGCATTAGCTAGCCTTCACACAGCCCTGTATGCTCCTTTATTGAAACAATTCTGTGAGTGAGGCCAAGTGAGGAGGAATCTAGGGCTCACAGCAGGGGACTGGCTGGCTTGGGGTCACCCAGTGTGCCCTAGTCAGGACTGAGAGCCCAATCCAAAGCTCTTTAGGACAAGAAGCTCAGCACCTTGTTTTTATCAGGAATAGAGGAAGGTCTCAGAAAATGCAAGCCGTGGCTTTCAGATGAGAACTGAGCCTTTGTAAAGCTAATGAGCATTTATTTCCTCTGTGGCCCTTATACCATCACACACACCACAGAAAACCTTCTACCATTAAAGTGAAAATACCTGCAACCTGATCATCCTGGCAGAGAAGGAGCCTCCTACATTCAACTGCGGAGGAACTACCTGAGGAGCCTCTCCCTTCCCCCATAGTCTGGCTCCCCTATGGGGTCACCTCCTTTCCCCTCTCTCCTAGTTCAGTACCATGGAGTCACCTCCTCTCTCTCCCATTATCTCCTCTGCCCTCCCTACTCTGCTCGGCTACATCCTGGCAGTGCCCTGGCTTCCTTTTGAGTGTTTATTCCTATCTGCTTCTTCCCGTCTGAAGGATCTAAGAGTTGTACTGGACCTTGGAGTCCAGCCTATGGCTGAAATGAAAACTCCAAGAGTTCCCATGCTTATTAATTTAGAGAATGATTAAATTTAAAGCATTTGTTCAGCACCGACTCTGTCTCTGCCCTCAAGGAGCTTATAGGGATATGATACTCACTGATGAAGATATAAAGTGAGGTATACAGTAACATAAGGTTTGAGGGGTGAAATGTAGTGTGCCAAGCTCTGTGCTAAGCATTAGGGATACAAAGAAAGGCAAAAACAGCCCCTGCCCTCAAAAAGCTCACAGTCTAACAGCAGAAAGACAACATGCACACAACAGTGTAAAACAAGACATACTGGAGATAGTCTCAGAGGGAAGGTGGTAGCATTAACGGGTATGGGGAAAGGCTTTGTGGAGGATGCAGCATCTGCATGGGTTTTAAAGGATGAGGGGAATTTCAGAGATGGGAGAAAGGACAGAGGAAAAGGCATTTCAGGCACAGGAAACCAAGGAAGAGGTGGAAATATATGTCTAGGGAACAGGCCAGCTGGGTTGCAGAGGTAGTGCCCAGAGGGAAGTGGGATGAAACAGGAGTTGAAAGGTGGCCTAGGGCCAGAATGAAGGCCTTGAATGACAAGGCTGGGCATTTTCCCCCAAGAAAATGAATCCCTTGATTTTTGTCAAAGATGAAGGGAAATTGATAGCTTTTTTAGGTGAGCAGAGGGAGATAGGCTTTAAAAAATTAAAGGATAAATCATTTGTTATTGTGGGATTAATAAAAAATAACTTTTTAACATGTGAAATCTATTCCATGTTGTATGCCACCAGATTCTCACTTTTGTTCCCCCAAAATGAGATCATGATGCCTTCTTGAATTCACTGATAGGCAGTGAACGGATTAAATAAGTCCTTCCATTGATAACTGGCTCTGCCAGTACTGCCCATGTGACCTCCTTATCCGTAAACTGAAGGCCTTGGGCTGGGTAACTTCTGAGGTGCCTTTCAGCTCTGAAGAGATGATCTTATCGTTGACCAGAGGCATAGGGTGGTGGAGGGAAGCACTGAATTGCGAGATCAGCAGGGGACTCAAAGACCTGGCTTAGTGACTTCCTCCCTATGAATCTAAGTCCCATGATGATCTTAAGTCAGACAAAGGACTTTAAACTTCCTTTGGAAGACAAGAGGGCCTGAGAAATAGGTTTTATGAAGTGACCAAATCTAACCAGCTCTATTCAGAAGGATACGTCTGGGAGCAGTAGGAACAAAGGACTGAAGGAGGGCAAGTCTGCAGGAAGGCCTGGATGAAGGTGGTGGTAGAAGAAATAGGAAGAGAGGAGGCTGAGATGTTTCAGAGCTACCAGCCACAGGACTTGGGAAGTCATTGGCTATGAAAGGAAATGGAATATTCAAAGTGAAAGTGAAAGTTTGGAACCCTAGTTCCATTGGGCTTCCTGGCTCAATAGCCCAGCCTACTGAATGTCTAGCCAGACCCCAGCTTTCAGGGTCTTTCTTTAATATTCCTAGAATCTCAGATGTAAGTGTCCTTCGTTAGAACTACTTCCCAACCGAGTTTTGCCTTTCCTTCACCAATACTTAGACTAATGAGACAGCAGTATACTCCCAAAAAGATGTCTCGGGGAGTTTATTCAAATTTTCCTCAAAAGCAAGGTCATTGGGGTATGTTCTAGGGATCCCCACCCTCTGAAATGGGAAAGTAACAAAAACTCTCTATACCAAGAAAAAGAAATTCACCCAACAACAACCATTTATTATGCACCTACACAGCCAGGCACTGTGCTAAAAAAACAAACAAAAAAACACATATAAAGGTACACTAAAATGACCTTCTTTTCCTTTTATTTATTTTCCTTTATTAAACTAAGAATAAGAACAACAATAATAATAGTTAGCAAAGAGCTTTACAAATGTTTCTCTCTTTTTTAAAAGGTTCCTTCTGATCTGGCCATCAAATTGAGAGTTTTTTAAAGCCCTTAGCCCACAGGGCACATAGTAAGTGCTTAATGTTTGTTTCCTTTCCCTTCTCTCAAATGACTTTTAACGCAGTTTCCTTTAAAGAAGTTTATACAAATGAAAAAAAAATATTTCTCATGAACCTTAATTTGTAACCATCTGCTAGATTAAGGGAGGACAATATAGGCAGTACACCTCACAGCCATTATTCTCCTCAGCGGTATTTTCTGAAACCTATAATCAAAGTGTAATTGTAAATTCCCTTAGGACTTTCTTTCTCAAAGTCTAGTTGGGGGTGGGAGGCTCCAACCCTCCTTCAAAGACAGGAAGGTGGTCTCTTGCAGAATCACAATTTCTAGTATGACAACATGAATACTTTGGTTTCTTTCTTGTCTTATCATTAATAAAAACTCAATTTCAACAAGTATTTCTAGAGTGCTGATGGTCGTGTTTTAAAGAGACTGTCCCTACTCTCCAAGTTGCTTAGAATAGATTCTCCTTGGGGAGACATGAAAAAATCATGGCACCATTCAGTCCTGTATCACCTGTTTCAAAGTTCGTTCGAATGAAATGTAGATGGAAGTGCTCTCGGGAAACAAAGAAAATGGAAATTAAACAAAGGAACCCAAAGGCTGCCACAGGGAAGAGTGAATGAAGTTAAGCAAGGTCATAGTGGGCATCTTTAGCCCGCCACAGATGCCCGACTACGGAGCCTGCAGTCAAAGAGGGTACAAACAAAAGCTCTGGGCAAGCTTATTTTTCTTCTGAAAATCCCAAGACCTAAATGTAGTCTTCATGTTCTAAGTTAGCTGGATGAGTGTAGAAATGTGACTGTTACTCAAATTTGGGTCAGCATGACAGTTGATTACAGGAGAGCTACACTATATGGACGACTTCATTTCAGTTGACATTTCAGTTAGTTCAGTATTTTAAAATGGGAGGAAAACAAGAGACAACTAAAAACGGCCTCTGGAGTGTTTTTTAACTCTTCGGCATTTCCAACAGCCACTGGGCCTACCCCATAAAGAACTTACCTACCTTGAATTTCAAGGGTTAACAGCAAGCTTTATACACCTTTGGTATAAAAATCTTGCAATTATCTCCTTGCTCCTTTTGACTTTTTGATCTTAGCTTTTGCTTCTGATGATAATTACCCCTTAATTAGCACCCACCACTGTATCATCTAAGTAATTATAGTAAGTGGAGCCTGCACCCCAACACGGAGTCTTCAAAGAAAATTATAAAATAAGGTCCCACATAGACTTTTTAAAGCAAAACTGGTTCAAATAAAACACTTCTGCAGAGACTACACCCTGAAGAATAGAGTTCAGACCTAACTTCCATTCAAGCCAGCTGCAATAAAGTTGGCTTTTAAAAAAGAAAAAAAAAAGAGGAAGTTGAAAGTATGTTGGGGTATGAAAATAAAAGTTGAAAGGTACAGGTCCAAAGTTAGGGTACAGGTTATCTGTACTTACAATAATGAATCTGTCTGTGGTGCTTTAATCATTCAACTGATAAGCTGCACCAATGCCTCGAATTGGAACAGTTTTCTGTGGACTTAGAGATAGAGCTTCACTAATATACTACCTACATATTGTTTAAACTCTTCCCTGTGATTTAGAATCAAGTCACTTTAAGTGTTTCATAAACAGTCTATTCATAGCTTTAGGCATATGAATGGAAGGGCTTTAGGAAAAATGGTAACTAATATATTAATTTCCCAAGTAATTACCTGAAGCTCCATTAATTTCCTCTCTTCTCCAAGAATAAGGCCACATATAGATACAGAAGTCATGAATATGGTTTTATTTTGATGTCTTTATTAAACTTTAAGTGGGAAGAGAAATGATATAGGAAATGATATAGTGATAATTTAAAAAAAAACCCACAATACACTTTGCTAGATGGAAAAACGCAATCTCATAGATATCATTCAGTTCAACTCCCTCATATTTCAAATGAGCAAACTGAGGCCCAGATTACTAAAGACATGTACATGTACCTCACGGTCACCCAGATAGCTACAGGCAAAGGCAGAATTAGAAACCAGGTCTCCTTATGCAATTAACAGTAACATACAATTGGGTCAAGTAAATCTGGTTTTCCATTGATGAGGTTTTTGAAGGTTTAGTACACAAAAAAGTAGGGAACAAATAATCAATGTGTTTTCACAACGAGTTCCTAGCATCCGAGAGTGGGGAGGGAAGGGGGGAGAGAGGGAGGGAGGAAGGGAGGGAGAGGGGGAGACAGAGAGAGAGAGAGAGAGAGAGACAGAGAGAGAGAGACAGAGAGACAGAGAGAGAGAGAGGCAGAGAGAGAGAAGAAAACAGATCTAGTTACCTGATCCCCTATGGATCTGTGACATCAGTTGCTGGAAGCTGTCAATTTCCAGGATGACTCATTTGGAGCACTGAAGTACTGAGGAATGTCGGATAAGGATTTTCTGATCCTTTAAAATTAAAATAAAAAGGAAAAAGGTGCTTGGTTGCTTTCTTCCTTAAAAGGTATTTTAAAAATGTTTTAGAGATATCTTCATGAAGGCTGCATTTTGTCGCAGATTATGTGGGTCAAGACAGAGACAGGGAGAGAGAGACAAAAAGAGAAGAGACACAGAGAGAGACATAGAGACAGTGGAGTGCGGGGTGGGTAGCCCCAGTCTCTCTCCAGCACCACGTGCACCCAGCATCCCAGGGTAGACTAGCCCCTTTAAGTAGCCCGTGGGACTCGGACTGACCATGCCGGCAGGTGGGCACATTCTGCTCCCCTACTCGGGGCCGGGGCCGAAGCCGGTGCATCCCAGTTGGAGCTCGCGGGCGCCTCGCGCGCGGACGCTGAGGCGTCCGTCACGGCCCCAGCCTTTGCACTCCCTCCCCCGGCCGGAAGCTTCCGAAGGCGCTGGCAGCGGCAGTCTGAGTCCCGGTCCCCCTCGGCCCCCCCCCCCCCCCCCCCCCCCCCCCCCGGGGGCCCCGGGGGGGCGGGGGCGGGGGGCGGGGGCCCCCGCCCCCCCCCCCCCCCCCCCCCCCCCCCCAACGCAGGCCTCCGCCGAGCCCGGGCCCTTCCTCCTACTCTCTCTCCTTCAGAACCCCGCGGATCGCCCCCGCCCCCGCCCCGGGAGTCCAGCCGGGAACTACACCTCCCGTCGGCCCTCGCGGCCGAGACCATGGCGGGCCCCCGCGCGTGCAGCGCCCTGCGCCTGCGCGACGGTTGGTCCGAACGACGCTGCGATTGGCTGCGGCGGCCGGGGCCGCGCGGGGCCTGTGGGAAGCGCCGTGACGGAGCAGGCGACTGGGGGAGGAAGGGGGGCGGCCGGCCGGGGAGCGCAAATGGCGTTGAGATGGTTCAGGGCCCTGCTCAAACTCCAGCCCTGACCACTCACCGGGCGAGGAGGCGGCGCAGGCGGGGGCGACGGCGGCGGCGACGGCGGCCCACCACGAGGAGCTAGTCAGCGCCGGCGGTGCGGACTGGGCGGCCTAGGCCCGGGCCGGCAGCGGCAGCGGCAGCGGCAGCGGGGGAAGTTGCGGGGCAGCCGCCGCCGGCGCTTCCCTCTTCCCCCTCCTCCCTTCCCCGCGGGCTCCTTTTGGCTCGGAGCGGACCCAGCGGTGGCTGGGGCAGCGGCAGCGGAACTCTTCTTCCCTCCCCCCCCCGGGCCCCCTCTTCCTCGAGCGTCAATCGTCTCCCCCCTCGAGCGCGCCAACCGTCCGGCCCCCCCTCCCCACCCTCCCTCGGCCCGCGCGCGCGGGGCCCCAGCGGCCGCCCGGCTCGCGCCGCCCGGGGGCCGCCGGGAAGGCGAGGCGGCGGCGGCCGGAGCTCGGAGTCTCCACCCCGCTCGCTCTGTGCCCAGGGTAAGTGAGGTTCCGTGGCGGCGGCTAGGCCCCGCCCGAGACGGGGACCCGGGAGGGGGTTCGTGCGGGGCGGTCCGGAGGAAGTTGGGGGGACGGGCGGGCAAAGAGAAGTATCTGGATCCTCACCACCCTCCCCCCCCGGCCCTTTCCGGGCGGCCGCCAAGTCCGGGGCGCCTCCCTCCCCCCTCCCTGCGCTTCTCGGTCAAGTGCACGGCGGGCGCCGGCCGCGCACCCGCTTCTGCCCCGGATAATTTGGCCGGGAGGCGGGGGAGGGGAGAAGGCGACTTTTCTTGGGGCGCCGGCCGGAGGCTCGGGAGTGTTAAGTTAGTCTGGTCCGCGCCTCCTCGGGAAGCCAAGCCCGGGGAGGGGGGCGATGGGAGAAAAATGTGGGCTTGCCGCGATCCCTCCGAGAGGTCCCGGGGGTGGGGCGGGGCGGGCGGGGCGAAGTGGGTGTGGAAGGAAAAGACCCCGGGGATCGGGATCACCGAGTCCGCCTTTCTCTCTGGCCTGGACAGGTTGATTGGAGGAGTTGCAAATGTCTCTGAAGGCCCCAGTGAAAGGTTAAGACCCACGCGCCTATGCACATGTAAGTGAGACTGTGACTGTAAGTTGTCCGCCCACCCCCTGGGGTCCCCCGCAGGCTGGGGTGGTGGTGCCTCTTGTGTCGGGGCGTCCCTGAAGCTTTCAATGAGCTTTTCCAGTTTAGACCTGAAAAGGCTTGACTCGAGATTGAGATTTTCCACTGGTCTCCTGCTTTTGGCAAACTCTGAGGTGTTAACTTTTTAGGTCACGGAGTAGGAAGGGACCTGAGGGGTTGTTTAGTCCAATTCCCTCATTAGAAAGAGGAGAAACTGAGACCCATAGAAGTTAACTGATTTGCTTAAAGCCACACAAGTAGTGAGTAGAAGATTCAAACCCAAATCCGAGGAATTCCCAGTCCAGCACGCTTTCCCAGTGTGCCATGTTGAGAACAATCCCAAGCATTTAGTATCCTACACTGATACAAGGACACAGGGATTCATTTATGTTTTTCTAGGGAAATGACCAAGTTCTCTTGTTTATAGGCAAGTTACTTAAATAAAGCATTTTGTTTCTGTAACACCTAAGAAAGAAAAACACAAAATTCACCAATAAAATCTGTGGTGCCAGGGGATACAGGTATGCCTTGTTCCTACTGCCAAGGTTATAGGAAATGTTCCGAGTTTATCATTGAATTTCATGTCTCATAAGGAAAAAAAAACTCCTGCTGAACACCCCAGAAGATCAGTTGGACAGTGATTCCTCAGATGTTAGTGCATCCAAGAAAGCCACAATATTTGGAGTTCAGTGAAACGTGGGGCAAATGCTGATACAGAAGACCATTGTTGTGATATTTCAAAATAAAGGAAAGGTTTCCATGTGTGTAGCCTATAGCCCATTTCTTTCAAGCTCATTAATTCCAGTACAGTGAAGCTGTAGGCCCTTCTAAGAGTTTATTATAAATTCAATGATTTCAGTAATGTGAATTTAAAAAGTTTTAGTAACAAATGGAAGGAGATACAGGTTTCTACAAACATGTCTTTTCTTCTCTCTTGAATACATATCTATTGTGTAAATAAATCTGAATGAATCTCTGAATCCTTAAAGATGACAGATAAAAATAAAAAGAAAATGAAGTTGTATATTTATAATGTGGTTTAGCTGCCCATGGAACTAATGTTAAAGAACCCAACTTGCACTAGTTTATCAAATACAAAAGCAGTATCTTCAAAGTCAGATTCAGTTAGTACAGACCCAATTTTTTTTCTTTTCTTTTTTTTTTTTTTGGCTAGACAGTTGGGGTTAAGTGACTTGCCCAGAGTCACAAGCTAGTGTTGTGTGTCTGAGGCTGGATTTGAATTCAGGTCCTCCCAACTCTAGGGCTGTTGCTCTATCCGCTGCACCACCTAGCTGCCCCTTCAACCCAATATTTTTGAAGTTAGCACAGAAGTATACATTAGATTCAGTGTGGTGTCATCTTTTCTTCCTTTTTTTTTTAGTCTAAAAAAGCAAAAGCTTAGGAATCTAGAAACACACCCAACATTAACTTGTCTGAAAGGTAAATACTACTTAATTACATTTTATTTGTTTTTCATGGCTTAATATGGTACAGTGTAAGAATTGAAATATTCACACTAAAACTATTTTCAAAAGATGAGTACCTAAATTTGAAGCTTTCTAATCATTACGCTTAACATACTTAAGCACTGTATAAATGAATACTGTTCATTGACTATTGATTCAATTTGGAGCTTTAATGAGTTCTGTTATTGTAAGTGGTAAGTCATCATTCATACTTGTTTGGCAACTTATGAATTTTACATGTGGTATTTAAAAATTTTAATTAAAATATTGCTTATTTTCTTGATTTTCCACAGAGAATATGAAACAGGTGTCAAAATGACATCCAGATTTGGGAAAACATATAGCAGGAAAGGGGGAAATGGCAGCTCTAAATTTGATGAAGTATTTTCCAACAAACGGACCACCCTTAGTACAAAGTGGGGAGAGACTACCTTTATGGCTAAATTAGGCCAGAAGAGGCCTAATTTAAATCCAGATATCCCAGAAATTCCTAAGAAGCCTAAAGTGGAAGATGAAAATTCAGAAGATCCTTTTGGATTTGATAGTGATGAAGAGTCTTTACCAGTTTCTTCAAAGAATGTGGCCCAGGCTAAGAGTTCCTCCCAGTTGGAGCCTGGTGAAGCTGCTCATCTGGGTAACTTCACCTCTGTACTTGAAGCTAACAGCTGTATTAGTCAACCAATCACCGAAGACATTATCGTGTCAAGCAAGTGTTTACCTTGTGAGAGTACTTTCCTTGGTTTAAAAGAAAAGAGCACAAACCGAGCCTTAGAAGACAGCGAAAACAAAAGTAGTGCAAAACTAATAACTAAAGGTGAGTCTTTATTTCATACTTGGAAACCCCTTTGTTATAGTTGTCATAGACAGCTCCTTTTAAGTATGCATGCCCTTTACTTTTATGTAAATTAGAATATAAACCTTAGTCAAGATTTTTAGCTTTGAAAAATGGGGGAATAGATAAAATCATAATAACTGTCAATGTTGTAGATAAATTTCAGGATTTTGAGGAAAACAGTTGGTTTTTTAAAAAGTTTATTTTTGTAAAATGTATAATACTCTGCTATAGAATAGCATTTTGTGTATGCTCCAGGTACCTTCTTCCTTTTGGATATTCGTAAATTGGATAATGTGAACTAGGTTATTCATAATTATAAAATATCTTATTTGTTAAACTTAGTATTTAGTGGATTTATGTGGTTATTGGTAGTGACACAGTAACATGAATATTTAAATTATAGAATTAGCCCAAGTTTAAAATATTTAAATAACCTACAATCTTGGTTCCAGCAAACAAGTATTAGTCATAATCAATATTTTCGTAGTTTTCTTGAGTATAATGAATTAATATTTTACCCTAATTCTTGATGAGATTTGATTTGGGGCTGAAATTAATAGTTAAGACAGGCAGTGCCCAGTTTATGAAAGAATGTATTCCCAAAGTTCATTTTCTGGTTGGTTATTTTGGAACTTGAAAGCTGTTTCCTCTTAGGGTCATTATCAGTGGCAGTTTGGTTCCTAGGTTAGCTCATAAATGGAATCTTATAGCTGGAAAGGACCTAAAGGTTCATCCCATCAGCTCCACTACCCCTACTTCTTGCCCTCTTCTGCAGAAGAAACTGAAGTATAGAGAGGTTTGTGATTCACAATTGAGTATTTTTGAGTTAACCCATAATGTAGCTGAAATAGTACTAATAGTTACCCTGAGCCTTGTGTGTGGGAGTAAAATACTGGAGACTGGGTGCAGGTTGCAGTGGTTTGGCAACTC